CATCAAGGACACATTAAATTGATCAAAACAGTTTAGACATGTTTTGAAAAGATCTCATCTAATGAACTGCCAACTTATTCAACATGATTACGCAGTGGATGCCATTCCAGCTGCAGTGCATAAAGTTGTCTACACCAATGGTTTCAAGCTCAATTCCTGGAGAGCCACAGCTCTGCAGAGTTTACCTCCAACCAGCTCCAACTCACACCTGCTTAATAGTCTCTAGTAGCCTTGAACACCTGGATCAGCTGTGTTTGAATAGGGTTGGAGCAAAACTGTTCAGAGCCACGGCCTTCCAGTAATCGAGTTTTAGACCTACAGTATAGTCTACACACCAATAATAAGAACTTTTATTGAAGATTAAAGGTACAATATGTACGATGGTTTTATTAAAATATTCAAAAACCACTAGAACCATGTTATACAGTATATTTTGCAGACTTATGTCCATACCTTATCCCAAATGTTTTTTTAGAAATTAGCTATTTTTATCTGGTAACACGGACTGTGTCACCATGCTAATCACATCATACTATGTGTAGAAACGAGACAAAGATGCCTTAATATGGTATACATTTTTTAAACTGCACAGAGCAACATTAGAAAAACCTTAAAATGCAGTAAGTATGATAAAACAGCTTTGCTTTATGTCCACATGATCATGACTGGAAGACCTGGAAGGCATGATGAGGCATAAAAAAAGTTCTGCTGCTTGCATATCACATCACACTCTTCTCTCATCCTCAGTTGTTCCAGGGGTGTCATTTTGCTTTGACAGCTTACAGCTTTACTCTGCTGCATACTAACATAATATGCTTTGAATACTTTAGCTCATCCATTAACATGGAAGAGTCACATAAGATGTATTAAAGATAGCAACTCCCATGATTTCGCACTCAATCATGCCCTCATCAAACTACAGCTTTGTTTTAAAGACATGCCCTCTATCCGTGTTCCCTTAAGTTGAGTAATAATTTTATCCTAACTGAGCATCATATGAAAATATTAGAATGATTAATGATGTCTGCTTAACAGAGTTAAGCTATAGCGTCGCTACAAGTAGTGACGCTACTAGCGCAACAACATTTCTCAGTAGCATGGCAGTAGCGTCCACACAAGCTACATTTAACCATTGTAGATCAATAGTGACGGCGCTGACATTAACGGAGATGTGAGACCAGTGTCTAGCCAATGAAAGTAAATCCATATGATGGCGAGAATGACGATTTCTTCTTTCTGTTTTACGGTGGTCGACAACAAACTTTTTGATGCGTTACTACCACCTCTCGCACTGGTGGGTGACGTCGCTGATCAATTAGGCTAACACTAGAAACTAGCTTGAAAGGCTAACAAAAGAAACTAGGAAAGATGACTGAGGAAGAGGAGTTATTTCTGAAGCAGGATTCCGCGTGACCATACCTTGAGAAGTACATGTTAAGATGCAAGAACTTTAATTGTGATGCTGTCCTTTTGTTAAAGCTTGTTTGAATATTTTTAAATGTTGTTTGTTAGTTCAGTTGGTTTTAAATTAACTTATAGTTTGTCCTGCAAATGTGCCTAAGTGTATCCATATAGGCAGGGCTACACAAAATACATTAGTAACTTTTTGTCAGGTAGCTTATAGGTTACCTTGTTACATTTCCTAGGGGGTAGCTTTTTGTAGTTAAGCTATATTTTAAGTAGAGTAGCTAATAGCTTGAGAGGGGTCTGGCTGCAGACCTGGTGCAGTGCAATTTGGGCTGCATCCAATGCTTTTTAATGGGCTCACCTAACCCCACACCTAAAGGCTGATTTATACTTCTGCGTCAAACGCCGGCGTATGCTACGGCGCTGACGCATAGCCCTTCGCCATGGCCATCGCCGTCACTGACGTGCACCTCTCAAAAAATGTAACAACACGTCGCAACGACGCGTAGCGTAAGCTCTGTGATTGGTCGGCTTGGTAGCGCTGACGAGTCTGGGCGTGAGCCGCGCGAATGGCGCGAGCGATTGTTTACAAGTGTGGAGTCCCGTGAAGGAGCTCCGGATGGAAAGTTTTGTTTTGTGTTTACCTCATAGTTAAAGTTGTTGCACGTCCGCCGGTTCCTGCCTCAAAATGAGCGAGTTTGAGCCACTTGTACATCCCGGAAGTGTTCAGGAAAAGCAAAAAAGCAGAGAAGAAACTCGACACAGAGGAACATTTACACCTCACTGCCTACTAGCGTTTCGGAAGTGTTAATGCAGACCGACAGAGACAGCGCGCAGAAGTATAAATGCACAACCACGTGCGTTGCGTGCGCCGTGGGTTACGCCGGTCACTTGACGCAGAAGTATAAATCAGGCTTAACCCTCCACGTCACAGTGATGTCACTAGCTTTGAGTCCATTGTGTCTGACATTGCATCGCTGAGTGATGCAGTCTCAGCTTGCATCATAAAGGCTGAATCCAGAAACTATTGAATAGCTTAGCTCACTACATTTTTCAAGTAGCTTGCCCTACACTGCTGCTTAATATCTGCAAATGTTTAATTTGACATTTTAGTTAGTCTTGAAATGTATTTGTAAAGTTGCTTAGAGTCTAAAGGCTGATTTATACTTCTGCGTCAAACGCCGGCGTCTGCTACGGCGCTGACGCATAGCCCTTCGCCGTGGCCGTCACTGACGTGCACCTCTCAAAAATTTTAACTACACGTCGCAACGACGCGTAGCGTAAGCTCTGTGATTGGTCGGCTTAGTATCGCTGACGAGTCTGGGCGGGACCGAGAGCCGTGCGAATGGCGCAAGCGATTGTTTTAAGTGTGGAGTCCCGTGAAGGAGCTCCGGATGTCAAGTTTTGTTTTGTGTTTACCTCATAGTTAAAGTTGTTGCACGTCCTCCGGTTCCTGCCTCAAAATGAGCGAGTTTGAGCCACTTGTACATCTCGGAAGTGTTCAGGAAAAGCAAAACAACAGCGACGAAATTCGACACAGAGGAACATTAACACCTCACTGCCCACTAGCATTTCGGAAGTGTTAATGCAGACCGACAGAGACAGCGCGCAGAAGTATAAATGCACAGTCACACGCTTTGCCTGCGCCGTGAGTTACGCCGGTCCCTTGACGCAGAAGTATAAATCAGGCTTAAGAATGAGCTTAGAATCTAAATGAGACCATCAAAATGTTTTTTTTTTTTTCTGACTGGTTTTCCACCAGTTCAGACTTTAAGCAAACAGTCTTGGCATGAAAATCCTTTTTTTTTTTTTTTCATTCTAAATATCTCTACGAGAACTGCCCACAACTAAAGTTTTTCCTTGTCTACTAGCAGTCTTTGATTTAAGTCATTAAAAGACTAATTGCACACTTATGATAATGATTTAATTAATGATATGCTGCTGGGACAAAATGGTTTGAGTGCAAGGGGTGAGAAATAATAACATAGTAACATTTCTCAACACTACAGGGAGTTTGTGTGTGTGTTGGAAAAACAGCAAGGAGACAGCCTGAACTTTTTAATAATTTATCGGTAAACACAAAGTGTAACATCAGATCTGTTGAAATGTGCAGTGGTAGGCAGGTAATGCAGTCAGTTTGTGGCCAAGTGCTAATAACAACTACTGCAGCAGGCCTACTGTACTTAGAGCCTACCTTTTAAATAGTAAAGGCGCCATATAATAAAAATCTGGGTATACCTATCCATAGCTGAGTTCAGTATATGGAAATACACTCAAACACCATCTATTCTCACATAAATCTAGTGAGTGTAACACCCTGGTAAAAACACAGCTATCATAACAAAACACAAACTGTTATGTTGCATGTGTATTAATAAACATGTCCTCAATATTTGTATGTACTTTAGGTTGGGGGTTCCCAAACTTTTCAGCCCGCAACCCCCAAAATAATAACGAAAGTGAGTCGCGACCCCCAATATCCTCTTAGGTGGTAAAATATATGCAAACATGGCTCACACACATCAATAAGCCCAAGTCTAATATTTGTTTAATTTTTGAGAACATCACTTGGAGATCATCCTCCATGTTCAATCATGGCCTGTATATAAATTTATGCGAGTACCGTAAAGACGTCAGAAAGTTTACCTTGGTGCCATGAAATCGTCTGCTGCATCTGACCCTATTGCTGTATCTTTAATCTAACGTTAAGAGACTCCAGGTGTTGCAAACAGTTGGGAAATTTTTTTATAACTATTAAATACTATTTTTATCTTTTGTAGTATATGGACATAGTATGCTCATTATAATAGTTTCATAAAATGAATTTGAATTTTGGAAATCACCAAGCAACCCCTGCTCATTATCCTCCGACCCCCACTTTGGAAACCACTGCTTTAGATCACACTCTCAATCTAGACCTGCATGAGCAGCCAAGTACTTACAAAATGCAGGATATACGGATTAAAATTGTATTCAGTGCCACCTCGAAGAAACATAAGGTCTTTTTAATTGAATAGTTTATTGATTTGTCATGCATATTGTCAAATTTTGACAATTATTGTAAAACTTTTGTTCGGAATGTGACAACAAACATGTAGACTGCTTAAGGGTTTTATGCACTGTGTCATATCACTCAGATACTGTCTGACTGTTTTATATTTTATACACTTTATGAAACACATCTGTTTGTGCAGAAGTTGACATCAATTACTGGGTGTGTTTTCATGTCAAAGCTTTAAATATATCTAAGCCATTCCCTTTCGGCATTATGTCATTATAGTTTAGTGTATAATTAAGCATATGTTTCAACCACAACAACAACTTACCTATTCTACACGCCTGTACAGTAGAAGTCAGAGAACATTTTAACTTGGATTAATGCACTAAATGGTACTTTTAACAGAATCAGTGTTGATAACCGGAGTTTGCAGACACATTTTTGGCATCTTTGATCAACGTGCCTTAATAATTGAAACGTGGATCAAACGAGGACACTTTTGTCACTAACTGTGTATCTTTGCAACTTCCCCAATAACGAAAAAGAAACTGTTAAAAATAGATAATAATAAAAATACCTTTTCTTTTTTCTGCAGATGCGGTCCACTCGTAAAGTATCGGTGTGGCCAGTTGCGTTTGTTGGAGGTTTGCGGTACGAGTCCCCAAAGGTCAATGCAGCAGGAAAAGTATACGGCTGGAAAACAGTATTCGACCCTCACCGTCCCTTTGCCATCGATATGGCAGGGTTTGCCATCAACCTGAGGCTTATTCTTATTAAGCCTCAGGCCTATTTCAAGTTACGAGGGGTTAAGGGAGGCTACCAGGAGAGCAGCCTGCTCAGAGAGCTGGTCACACTCAATGACCTGGAACCCAAAGCCGCCAACTGCACTAAGGTAAGGAAACTTTGCTTCTCGCAAGGCTCTCTGGAATGCTTGATTCTGATTGGTCAGCACCATATTCCAAGGTGTCCTATTCCTCAATAAAAAATGATTAAATTATGCAAGGTTTAAACAGACTTTACTTGGATGGGCCGCCCAGATATATATATATATATATATATAAATAAGAGGTCGCGTTAACCGAATATTTTCCGTCATTGACAGATTTTTTTCAGCAGTGACGGAAAAATCTGAAGGTAATCTGTCATTTTGACGGATTATGCTGAGGGTGATCTTTTGTAATTTGTAGCTTATTGTAATTTCCACTCTTGTCCAGCTGATGCCGATTATACTTGTTTTGTCTCCTCTTTGTCACTGCTGCGTACAGTTGCAAAAATGTCACAGCAGCTGACTGTGAGAAGTTTCTTTAAACGGCCAAATAGATGTGATGTGTTTAGATGGCCGTTATGAGCCAATGCAGCGGCAGCAAGGAGGTCAGGTGCTTTGGAGTGCGTTGTGAGCATATATATATATATATATATATATATATATATATATATATATATATATATGGATATATGCATCTAAATATGCTGCAAAATATCTGTACCTGTATTTTTCTGATTTGCTGTATTTATTTGATGAATTTGATTAAAGCAATATATTAAATAATTTATACACCTAAAATGCTTTAGCAATACTGTACAAAATGTTATGCCAATAAAGCAGCCTGAACTTGAATGCGAGATAGAGAAAAGCAGATTTTACCTGTCATTGAGTGCACGTGGCTCTGGAATAGCATTATAGGTGGATTTCTTTTTTTTTTCCCCCCCAAGTCTTTTTTAACATTAACTCATTGAAAAACTGTTTATAACAGTTTCTTAATAAATAAAAGTATTCTTTAAAATCAAATAATTTTTTGTTTGTTGCATATAGTTGACTGTGCTGTGGGTATAAGACGTGTTTCAATCCGGCTACCACTGCAAGTATATTTTAAACCAGTGGGAAGCATTGGGTTTTTCTTGGATGGAGGTTGTATGCTGATCATTATTTTTACTACTTTAAACAAGCACTTTTTTGCATTATTTTTGTAATGTTGTCAAGTAAATCATTATCTTATTTAAAAAGGCTAACATTAAAAGTACTTTAATAAATAACCAGTGCTTGAGCATCACTTGGGGTCTGAATCATAAGAATTATAAGGTGGCACCACCATACAATTTTGTACAAGCTCTGCCTTTTGACAAACATCAGGCAGGAAGTCACAGTGACACTGCCTGATGTTGGTCAAATGGCAGAGCTGGTACAAAATTTGATAGTGGTGCCACCTTATGTTTCTCTATGCAGGAAATTATGCATTGAATAATGACTATGAGATGCTCTATAAAAACACTAGCGTTCTTTTCTCATTCAGCACAAATTAAAATCAGTGCTCCATTGTCATGTATTGTTTGCTTGATGTTAATCGCTTTATATCAGTTTGTTTTTGTAATTTAAGTCCCAGCGCATGACAGATGATAAAACAAAATATATTCACTAACCTGTTTATTTTACACAAAACAATAACTCAGATTAATGAATGATACCCAGTGCTTTTTTACACTTCTTCAGTATTTGTAACAATATGACGCTGAGTAAACACTGAGCTACATGGAGCCAGGATTCTCTCTTCCTAAAAAAAAATTAAATAAATAAATACAAGAACAACTGTTAAAAAGGCTCTACTATTCTCTCACTATTTAATGACAGTCTCTCTCCCAGCTATTGTATGTAGATCTGGCTATTAGATGTTTTAATTGATGATTTGTGAATGAACTGACTAATTGGTGTTTTAATTAATGATTTGTGAAGGGACTCACTAATTAATGTTTTAAATGGCATTATTGAGCTCAAGGACCTCACTTAAGACAAAACAAAGATTTAAAGACCAAACAAATCCAATTCCTCGATTATGATTAATGAACCAGCGATGCATGTGGCTATATTAACCACTATATACCCATTTGGAGTAAACAACTTGCGCATAAACTGATCGCCACAACTAGATTGTCGCCAATTTCTCACCACATGTAAACACATCAAATAGAAAGATCTGTCTTGAAACTACTGGGCATACAGGCTGATGAGTCCTATATCATCTGTTTTAACTACATGTTGCAGACGATTGGCTGCTTTAGCAGCCAATGAGCTTGTTCCAAAACATTTAAACACCTCAATGTTGCTTGCATTAGTAATCTGCAGGGCATTTTCGGACACACTCCTCCACCATAGGTCTACCTGTGCGTAGATCTGTTGGGAGTTACATGAATGTCATGTTTGCAGCAGCAGTAAATAATCTGCCAGCAGTAGTCTTGGTACTTTCTCTGCACCAACAATCAAAGCAGCAGCAGCATACAGCAGATCTATCAATCAACATCAACATTACCATATGACATCTCACCACAGAGTAGTGTAGTCACTATACTTGAATTTCTAATTCTGGAATTTCTAACTCTGGTATGATACCTTGAAAAATAGTGATATTCAATACCATTTTCCATACTGCGAGGAACCTCACTACTCTGTGGTGAGATGTCATATGGTAATGTTGATGTTGATTGTTAGATCTGCTGTATGCTGCTGTCGTTTTTTTAAAACATGCTTCGAAGCCTCCCTTTGCATTTTTCCATATGAATGAGGTATATTTTACATCAACAAAACATCTTGTGGTATTGCACTAGTTTGAAAAAATCTTAGTGCCTGTAACATTCAAATTGCAAAAAAAAAAAAAAATTAAGTTATATAATATACTAGGCCTATGTCAGGCTTTAAGTACAAATACACCAATATAGCTAGTGAAAAAATTAGTAAACATGTCAAATCAGTGCAATCTTATGTAGTCTTCTTATTTTCTGATTAAAACAAAAAGGATTTAGCAAAACCACACTACAGATAAGCTAACCACAGCAAAATAAAACATTAATATTTTTGACAACACTACGAATTGTCATGATGAAATCTGATTTCTTATTGAAGTGGCGTATAAAATTCAGTTTTTTTTTATTGATTATGACATAACAAATTAAATATTTTACCAGGAAATAAAGGGATAGTTTCCCCAGAAATAATAATTCTCTCATCATTTACTCACTCTTCACTTGTTCCACAATTGTCTGAATGTATTTCTTGTTTTGAGCACAAAGAAAGATATTTTAAAGAAAGCTGAAAACCTGTAACCATTGACTTACATGGTACTTGTTTTTCCAACTATGGCTCAGTGGTTTTCGGCATTTTCAAAATTACATCCTTTGGAAAAAAAAACTTGAGGTTGAGTAAATTTTTATTCAATATGCTCATTTATTACTGTTGTGTAATTACATTGCAGGCTCCTTGGTTTGCATGTAAACCATACTAGAGCTGTGCGTCACATTTGTTACTGTAACGAATGTTCTGACAAAGAGGATACATATGCAGTACGTTTATTAAACAACTGATAAAAAACAGAGTTTTGGCAAAAACTGTAATATTCAAGTGCATAGGAAGTATAGACGAAGTCTAAGACAGGCAGATAACGTTTAGCATCAGGATACAGTAGTCACGTGGTGCTGTGCGACGAGGCTTCGAAGCATGTTTTAAAAAAACGACACATCTCGCAGTGAAGCAGTGTACCGGAGCTTGATTCGTTTTGCCATCATCACGTGATCAGTGACTTCCGAAGCTTCCTTTTTGCCTATACCCACGTGACTGCTTAGAATTTTGGTTCAAAGGTTTAAACACTCTCATGGGTTAGTAAAGTGTATGGTGAGAGATTAGGCAATGAATACATACATTTCTACTGTTTCAAAGCACTGCACCGGTCCCACACACCAGTAATTAAACTAAAATACAACAGTAATTTATTTTAAAAATGTTTTGAACCATACTAAAGTGTATTAGCATATTTTTTACAACTATCCTTAAAGAAAACCCCTGCATAACATAGTATAGTGTTTAATAGAGGCCAGCTGGCAAGTGCTACCGAAAGCATCATTCACATAGCCTCCTCCTTAGAGAATTCGCCTCCTATGCAGGAATCGCTGGTTCAATCCCCGCTTGAAATGAGTGCGTGGGTAATCTGTTTATTACTGTTGCTGTATTACTACATGAATAAGTTAGTCAGTTGTGAACATTTGACATTATTGCAGCACAGTGCTTTCCCACACTTTAACCAGCAGAGGTCCTTATCGAGCTCTGATTTGGAAAGCTTCGCGTAACAAAACTTTTTTCAATACAATTGAGTCGAGCACTTCACTGGTTCAGAAAACTTCATTTCACCATCACTAGGGTACAAGCTGAGATTGGGGCTGGCAGCAGAGAATCAATACAATAGCAGGCAAAGGTCTGGGCAGGCGGTGAAATGAGACAGGGTCAATAAACAGTCCAGGTTGGCAACGAGAGAACAATCAGAAGGCAAGGAATAACGCTCAGAAATGAATTCAGGGCAAAACAAAACTTTGCAATGAGACGCTAGTGAGAGCTGCTTATATGTGCGCGTGTGGATGAGGATCAGGTGTAGGGTAATCAGCGCCAGATACAGGGAATTCTGGGTGATGGAGTCTTTAAAAAGCCGGTGATAGGGACCTCTGCTGGTCAGTGAGGGGAATGGCTGTAATTATTGCAATATTTACTTACACTTGGACTTTTAAAGTTTTTTTTTTTTTTTCAGAAAAAACTGTTAATGACTGCAATTGTATACAAGTCTACTATATAATAAAAAGTTGGTCCAAGGTATAAACATCTTACTTAAAAGAAAAACATCAAATTAAGTATAAAATAATCAACAGATTGGTTAACTATTTGACAAAATAATGGATAGATTAACTGGCACAGTTGATTGTTAGCTGCATCCTTAAAACATGCTCAGTGTCTTTTTACCGCAAAGAAAAAAAAAAAAAACATCCATACAACTACACCTGCACATCTCTTCTTGTTTGTGGAAAAGCGTGAACTGCATTCCACAACAGAAACTCAACAGACAGACTATTAATCCAAGTGGGACTTTTAAACTCAACTAGCAGCCTAAGTGAAAGTTGGGCTTCCAGAACCCATCTCCACACAATTATAAATGATTCATGAGAGGCAATGAGCAGAACAATGCTGGTTTCTGAAAGACAGCAACAAGGGAAATGGAAAAGATGAGTCAGTCAGCTTCTGTTTCTTCCTCTGGACATTAACAACAATTTTCATTGAGGCAGATGATTATTTTCTGTACTGATAACTTCATCTTGATGTCATAAAGGGGTGAAGTGAAACAAACTGCACACTGTCTCTTTATGTCACTGCTATAACAAAAGGCACATTTAGACACATACATGTACTGTAGCTGGAGCCGATGTATATTTCAGCACTTGAGATCTGTACCGAGGGAAATGTTCTGCACCAGGCTAAATTTGGAGATATACTGTGGATTGTACATTGCTGCTGAGGAGGAACTTTATATCTGAGTGTTCCTGAGTCCTACTGTGTAGGAGGGAGGCTAACAGTATATGAGAGGAACGAGAGGGAGCTTACAGATAAATATAAAAGCCGACAGAGCAAAAACTTCTTCGGAAACAAGACTTAACTAAAAGAACAAATGTAACAGGTGGGTGAATGAAAAACTATTTCTAAATAAAGAAATGTTCCAATTTTTTTAATATAGTTTAAAATGTGATCTGCTGTGTTCATTTAGAATTTATATTAGAGCTGCATGATATTGAACAAATCTGACATGTTGCAATATTTAGTTTTTCTGCTATATATAGTGCGATATGAATATATTTTCAACACATGACTTGAATATCTCTATTTGGGAAGAATTAATACTTTTAGATTGATTGGGATGGTTCTGTATTCGAGTGATCATCTGCATAAAATATAATAAACAATCTGCAAGCATAGAGAAATACAATAAATAAAAAAGATACTACTGGAATAAACGTGTTTGATGGTTTTCTGAGGAGTCGAACCGTGTTCAGGTACAGTAGTGTAATAATCACAAGTAAAATAATAGTGGTACAACTGTACAAACACTACAATTTCTTATGCCAGAACGTTTTTAAAATCAAAAATACATGCAAATGATAAATTCTAACTCAACATTGCATATTGTGGTACCTTTTTGAAAGGTACATATTTGTACTTAAAGGGTTCATACTGGTACCTCAAAAGTACAACATTTCTTTCAAGAGGAACACTTTTGTACTTTTTAGGCACTAGTATGTACCCTTGAGGTATCAATATGAACTATATAGGTACAAATGTGTACCTTTTGAAAAGGTGCCACCCAAGTGACAGCTTGCGTACCTTTATTTCTGAGAGTGGGTTATGCTGAGAGTGTAATTATTATTCTAATAATCTAAACAAATTGACTATAAACATAATAATAAAGACATCGTTCTTAAAATAGTTAACAATGTAAAACAACAGCAGAGGTCAGAACAGTTTTAACAATAAAGATGTACAGAAATGATATAATTGGAATGACTTAAAGAAATATTTTTCTTAAACTAACAGCCAGTCAGAATCCATTAAAAATATGAAGAGTTTGCCTCAAAACGACTCTTGCGCGAAGCTGAAACTAGCAAAAGACTATTGCGCCGCGCCTTGCGCCACATTGCGCCGGGTGTATGATAGGGCCCATACTGTTTGCTGTGTAGACAAATTATAGTTAAGTGTTAGACGAAGTTACTCTCAAAAGTAAAAGATTACAATCTTAATTCTATCTCAATTATATATACACAGTTGAAGTCACAATTATTCGGCCCCCTGTTTATTTTTTCCCCAATTTTTGTTTAACAGAGAGAAGATTTTTTTCAACACATTTCTAAACACAATAGTTTTAATAACTCATTTCTAATAGCTGATTTATTTTATCTTTGCCATGATGGCAGTACATAATATTTGACTAGGAAATTTTTAAGACACTTCTATACAGCTTAAAGTGACATTTAAAGGCTTAACTAGGTTAATTAGGTTAACTAGGCAGGTTAGGGTAATTAGGCAAGTGATTGTTTAACAATGGTTTGTTCTGTAGTGTAGACTATCGAAAAAAATATATAGCTTAAAGGGGCTAATAATATTGACCTTAAAATGTTTTTTTAAAAATTGGTCCCACTTTATATTAAGTGTATGGGTAGGTTTAAGGGTAGGTTAAGGTGTAAGGGATGGTCAATAGTGTATTTACAAATGTAATTACAAACGTTAATTACAGATGTAATTACATACATGTATTTAATCAAGCATAAGTACACAGTAGTTCATGCATTTACACAATAAGTACATTGTAGCAAACTATTAGTTCCTATGTAAGTACATATTAGTTAAGGCCACTTAATATAAAATGGGACCAAAAAATTAAAAATGGCTTTTATTCTAGCCGAAATAAAACAAATAAGACTTCCCAAGAATACAAAACTATTATCAGACATACTGTGAAAATTTCCTTGCTATTTTCCTTGCTTTTCTTGCCTGTTAAACATCATTTGGGAAGTATATATAAAAAAAAAACTCAAAAGGGGGGGCTATGAATTCTGACTTCAATTGTATATAGTTAGATAATTTTCTTTTTTTATATATATATCTCATTTCAAGCCTCTGTTGATGTAATGTTGTAATCCAAAATGTAATGTTAGTGCTTGTAATGGAGGTTTGAGCCATTAATATGCTCACAATGAGTCACTACAGAAACTATTACAAACAGGAAATAGGAAAGAAAACAGACCAAAATGTCCAACCAAACTAAACTCAAACACAAAACAGATGAGAGCCCTCGTCCCCTTGTACCAATCATAGTTGGTTTATGAATTTCAGTGTATTTTGATTTTATTTTATACATATAAAAAGAAAACAAATGACCTTAATTTCAGTGACCCAGCTATGAGAAGCACTTCATCTCAAAAACAATTTTCCCCCACTCCACTCCATAAACCATAATGGTTATTTTGTTTGTTACAGATTCTTGTGTGGCACACGCGGACGGAAAAACCTGTCCTGGTGAACGAAGGCAAAAAAGGCTTCACAGACCCAAATGTGGAGATCTGACATCTGCTTCGGCGTCGGTAATGAAAAAGCAATCTGTTCAGACTTTATCGTCTCTGTCAATGAGCAAATACGGGGTCAAAGAAGGACACAAGACCATGTGTTTACATGCATCTGGACGTGCTAAGTGACAGAAGTGTGGCTTAGCACAGATGTACCGCTGAACATTCTTTTACTTTGTGTTGCAGGGATGTATCCAGCAGGACCCGAAAGGGAATGGCAGGCTGTAATTACCCACTACTACATTTTTCTGAACAGTTTGAATGCTTTGTCCTGTAACCCACAACTAAACAAGCTCAACAATATGGACCTATTATTACCTGATGTAAAGCACAGAATAGTCTTTTTAAAGGCAATACCATCAGTATTTTACAAGAACAAAACAAGAGCCAGAAAAGAAATGTTGGTGTATATTGATGAGGGGAACATCTGTGACCTGATAAAACTGCTCACTTCCAGGATGAATTTTATAAACTCTACTTAAAAGAGCCCCCCCACAAAAGTACGTTACAGCAGTCTCAAAGTGCTGACGAAGAGCGTCATCGATTTAAGATCGTCATTGTCCCTACGCGTCTGACGGACTGACACTTAAACATAAAGAAGGGAATGTCTTCGTTTTGTTTTACACAATGTGTATTTTTAAGTTTTTTGTTGTTTACAATGTTGTCTTGCTAGCACAGCACTACTGATATTTTGCCTCAACTCAAATTCAGCGTTACTCTGCGGTATTAAACCAGTTCTTTCATAAACCAGGGGCTAGCTGCTATACTGGATTTAGCGATTACCAAGTTGTAACAAGGTCCTCATGGTTACGACCTTAATGACATGAATAGCACTTGAATTTGTTCCTTTGTGTCCATTGTTCTTGTTAGGACATGCGTTGTAAATATAACTTAAAGATGAACAATCAGAGACTTTAAAATAAAGTGATCTAGCATTCAACAAAACAAGCAATGTAACTACTGTATTTGTACTTCAGTTAAACGTAAGAGTCCATAGTTTTAGTTTATTATTATAACATCCATAATACTTCACATGTCTTCACAGAGGTCTTACCAAAGGACACAGAGCTGATGGGTAGGGTTTCGGAAAGTCAGTGTTCAGCAGAACTTGCCTCAGAAAGCATTTAGATGTATTTGTATGTCACACTGGAGCTTTGGGCTTTGCACAGAAGATCTGTCTTGAGTTGTTGCTGATTTAATGAAGTAAATACACATGTGGTACAAATGGTTTAGGCTAGTCTTGCAAGTTAGTCATCTCATTGTTTAAAATTCAACTACATGAAAGGAAAACCGGTCTAATTTCAGTCCAAAAAGCAAAACTGATTACGCCAAACTAACAGCTACAGTGGATGGTCTTAAGACACAAATGCAACATATTGTCATGTAGCTGTGTTTATGGAGCTAATATCCGCTTGCATAACTGAGGATTTACACGACAACAATTTTGACCAAAAACAGGAAACTTTTTATGCATTGCCTCACTGACATTTTTGGAACTGATAACTCAAAAATTTTAATAAGCAAGGTTTTTTGAAAATGGCGCCATTGTCTTGTCCATGAAAACATCCAGCCTGATCTCACAAGGAAACCTAAGTATTTTACGTTATATTAGTTTAGGTGCTAATTTGTTCGAGTTCAGTCGTACAAAAATTTGTACATTTTTAAAAAGAAGACGTAGCACCCAACCTCACCCTTAAACCCAACCGTCATTGGGGGATTAGCAAACCATACGAATTGTCCGAATGAGTTCATACGAATTAGCCACTAAGGGTGTTTTCACACCTGCCTTATTTGGTTCGGTTCGGTTGAATCGCACTTGAGTTGGTGCAGTTTGTTTGGGCAGTTGTGGATGTATCAATCACACTTGAGTGCGCATCAAAAACGGAACAAAAAATCGTACCGAGTCCACCTCTTCAAGGTTTTAAACGAACCCTAGAACATACCTAAGCGCAAAAAGTACTGCACCTCTTTCGATTAATCCAGCTGCTGTAGTCAGATGCGCTGTGCATTATGGGATGTCGGGGAAAAATAGTTGATGAAAGCGCTTTACTCAACATTTTAAACAGAGAGATAGGGAAAAATCTTACCTGATGGATATGGTAATATTTCCAGAAGATGAGCATTTCACAGTTTAGCTAAATTAATTCATGCCTTCTCCTGAAGTGACTTGCGATATGGCTTCGCCATTTGCAATGCATTAAAACATTGTTTTTCAGCCCCGCCTGGTTCTGAAAATGTATAGTTTGTCTAGAGTGATGTATACAAACTATATGGTATACTATGAGCAGGGATCAGTCAGCGCAGTCTTCCCCCTATAGTAAAAAACGACATTTTGTGTCTGCCGGTATGTTTACTTGTGGAAGTTCCATTGGCATTTTCCCGCACGTTAATTCTGACCAATCGAAAAGCAGTTTAGGAAATACGTTCAACAACATCTGGCCAATGAGAAGTGTGGATTTTGTCACATGACTGCATTTTGTTGTTATTTTTTCAACTGGTTCGCACAAAAGCAATCAGTCTGGTGTTAAAAACGGCAGAAAAATGCTACAATGTATCATTTGTTGTCCTTGGTCCAGAACAAAATGAACTGAACCACAGATGTGAAAACACCCTAAATCAAAAAGTTACGAATGGCTGTGAAGCGCAAACAAACATACATAATAATAGTAGTATGTGGTTTTGTTGCTCAAGTGTTTTCTAACACTTCATCAACAACGCGTGCATTTACTTCACATTATAACCAAAAGTAGAGACACATCTTAAATACATGGCAAAGACATGAGCTACCAACAGCACATCGTCACTTCCATATAGCCAGTGTTTACTAACAAGGTGACAATGCTAAATACTAGCCTGGTATGTGCAATACTGTGTTTTTGTGAATATATGTCTAAGTGTGGATCATTTTGAAAACATTGAACTTTTTCAAAACGCATGAGAAAAAACTTTTCAGTTTTTGGCTACAATGTTGTCGTGTAAGTGTAGCCTGGGTATGTGTACATTGAAGACACATCACTAAAATTGCATCTGTAAAACAATCTGACCTGATTAGAATTAGACAAATTTTCTTTATCTTTTCAAGCTGCCTTTTCACTGCCTACGACTTTGATTATGAACCCAAAGGCGTTCATTTGCGAGGGTCTGATCCTCTGTGAATTCTGGTGCTGTGAGAAATTGGGTCTCCATTAGGATCACATTAGCTAAAAGCTTTTAAATGGGTGCACTCTTTAGTGGATGATTACAATTCCTGCAAAACTGTGTTAATAATATATGTTGTTTGAGCAATGTTATAATGACCGAAGTCTGTTTTAGTTAGATTATTATCATATCCTCCAATCTAAACTGTCATCTAGGTAGTTTGTCATTTTTCTGAAAAGTTACCGATATGGGAGCGTTTACTAAAATAGTGCCCTTACTGTAAGCAAGACATTGAGCCCTTTCATCTGATTGGTAAAACACATACATTATAGTAACACAACAACTGTGGATTCAGTTCCAGAGAAGATCCCTTAAATAGAGCGTTCCAGAGCATTTGCCTAAATTTACATGTTGTCAATTGTAAATATGAAAATTTGCAGGTAATTGTCAAAAATCCACACATTGCATTTCAACAAAACTGCATTTTGATCTTACGTAACGCATGACAACACAAACAAAACAGATCTGTCATTATTATTATGGCAACTATGAGGGCACTGTCAAATTTTAAATGTATCTGTAGTTACACTCACCCGCATAGACCTCACTGCTATCCGGGTCACGGCACCAATTTAATCATTGACATGGGAAGTGTACACACAAACAACGACACTAAAGGCTGCAACATTTAGCATGATTTACTAATGTGAATCTTGAGTCCCGGAGGATTCAGCTTTACTCAAATAGCGTTTATATAATTATGAATGCTGGTTTTATTTTTCAAATTTAGATTTCTTTTTTCCATGCTTTAAGGTATTCATTAATCACAACATCATAAATATTTCTGCTGGAACAGAAACACAGTAGCTTCAGTAAACAAATCCATAGTTTATTTTAACTTTCACTGGGGGGCAAAGTGACACGAGGTTGTAGACAGTTGAAAAGGTGACTTTATGCCTAAAGTATGAATAGGTTCTTGTTCACTTGATTGGTTATGTGCTGTAAATATCATCAAACAAGCAGTATGAGCATACTGTGTGCATGCAGCAAAGTTTTTGTAATTATGTGTTACTCAGCTTGTATGCGCCTAATATTTTATTGGATTTTTTTTAAATTGGACAGCTTTTCAGTCCGAAAAAGAAACAAAACAACACCAAAGTACTTAATAGTAATTGATGATTGTTAGCATAAAAATCTTTAATATTCACAGATTAAGACTTCTTTACTGATAAAGTAGTCTGTAAAGAAATGGTACAGACATTGGACAGGTATGATTCTTTTTAGCATACAGGAGTTAAGCGCCTGTGTCCCAGCACCCACACTTGCAATCTTTGCACTTGTCATATTTCTGGCTATCAGCCCAAGTCTTTAAGTAGGCATGAGGACTGCAATTGTGTTTAGAATTTATTTGTAAGTCAATGAGGTTAATGTGGCCTTAGCTACCATTAAAAAAAATCTTTTAGTGAGAAAGCAATCCAACACAACCAATGAATTACCCAGGCTTTATCAGAGAGCATAATGAGCTATTATAATTGTTATGTGAAAAGCAGCAGTGTTTGTTGTGCTAATGCCCCTCATAATGAATTGTGGGTTAACCTGGAGCAAAAACAAATGGCAATGCTCAAATTTGGTTGAACATGTTTTAGAACAACTCCCTAAAACAGATGCAAATTCTGACAGAGACTTAATTAAGTCATACTCAAATTGATTAAGTATGTAATGTCAACTACAAAGACAGCCACGATTAAGTTGTTGCTCATGCATCTTGACGCATGACTGATAAAAGCAAAATCTGGAACATAAAATAGGCATATTTTGATCTATAAAAAGACAGTTTACACATATTGAAACATTTTTTGTTCTATTTGGAAATGTCTTTTAAAAGCAAATGCTACAGATTTACACATTTAGATGTTTCAGTTGTTCGTATTTTAAATAACCTTAACTGTTAAATTGCTTATTTAGTATTTATGTAACAGACAAGACCATTTTCAGTGATCTAATTACTAGTGATCAGCTAAGACCCATTGTTTTGGTGTTCTTTCTTACTAAGACAACTGAAAATGAACACATGGTCACTCAATGAGGAGTAGCTGGTGTTTTGTGGCTGTTCAGTTTCATTTGGCCGCATGAGAATTTACATTATGAAAGCAATTCAACCAAATGCTTTTTCAGCTACCTGTAATTGGTTGAAAGTGGACATGCTCTAAACATTTTAGCCTTGTTTACACTTATTTAGCATCATCCACTTGTGATCAGACTGATGAAAACACATTTTAATGCCTGGTGCAAATAGTGCCTTTTATAATTGTCAGACCGGGGCAGTTATGTACATGTATTACATTGTACTTGTTGTGTGCAATCCTCTTAGCCAAGACTGCAAGTGTGGATGTTGGGAAAGTCAAAATGTCTGGCTGTACACATATGCTAACTATTTGCATCAAAACTGAAGTATACTTTGGTTTATGATTTTAAATCTGGTTTAAATTGATTTTAAAAAATGTTAAAAAGAGCAACAGTTCATTGCAGCCATATGAAGCAGCTCAACATACCATAAACACTTAATGCAAAAACGCATATACTTCACCTAACCCTGAGCACAAAAAGTAAACAAACAAGCTAGCCCTCTTGCTGTTTATCTGGAAAACATATTTACGGGTAGATGTTTTGCTGCATTACTTGTAGCTATATATAAGAGCTGTTATGAAACATGATGAAGCACAAATAGTCTGACCTTAGATCAGTTCATGGGAAATGGAAGTTCTCTGCTACTACTTTATCATTGGCATTTTACTGTCACTTTGCTTATGTATCATCAAAAGTTTTGAAAGCCTTAAGCCGGGTTCAGACTGCACAATATTTTGTCCTGTTGGAATAGTCAGATTATGCGATTTTGACTCTTAAATAGTTGTTGTTCCATGGCATGTCTCATGTAACATGTTGCTTTATGAATAATCATCGATTATCACTTTTAAGGGAAGGTGAAACTAGTGACCGACTTCTAGAAACAAGGGTTACAAACAATGGCTACTGAAGCCATACATTCACTCAGAAAATAATCTATGTAGCTTGTTAAAATTACCAATTGAGCTGAGGCAATATAATTCTTAAGATTTCTTTGGGACAACTTAATTCTTTTATGTTCAATCCACTTAAATTTATAACAACTAATAAGTTATCTTAAGTCCTTCATGTTGTCCCAACACAAATCAATTGTGTGGAACCCAGCATTTTCTACAGTGTTGGTTATGTCGCAAATAATTTATTTATATGCATATTTAAGCACCGCTCTACAGCTATTTTATAATATAAATAGTGTTTCTTTTATTCTAAATGCACCTTAAATACCCTAATGATGTTATTATTCAAAGGATGAAAAGAAGTGTGGAATGTTGAACACTTCATGAACTCAATCTCAATTTAAAAATATCAATATTGTCTTTGTAAGTTACTGAGAATGGAAAATGTTCTTAGTACATCCTTATAATGTGGATGGAATGTTCTAATTGTTTTAAATAATGTTCTTAGAACTTTAATAAAACACAAGGCATATCATTGTGAACATGTTTTGAATATTGTTTTAACAAAAAAAAAAAAAAAACATGTACATCATCTTAAAGCCAGGACATTTTTAAGGTTCTAAGAATTATCATAAAGTAATGTTATATAGCATTAAGGAAACATTTAAGAAACTAAAATTGGCTGGGTCTAGATTGGTGTTACGGCCCAAAATCCAAAAAATGGCTCTATTAATGAAATCAGGATTTGAGCCGAACATATGAAAGACACAGATGCTTGAATATGACAAATTGACGTCCCCGTCAAAATATTTTTTAGTCTCATTAAAAAAACCTTACAAATAAAAGTATTTAATAAAAAATATTAACAAATAACTGTAGACAGGTAGAGCAGCTAAACAAAGCAGTTCCCTGACTCTTGTCGTTCTTCTAGGAGATTTCTTACCTAACTCCCATGAAGAAAAAAAACAAGCAAAAAAAGAATCTTCCGGGCCACTGCTTCCCTTGCTGAACCAAATAAATAACAAAACATGATTAGAAAATTAATATCCACTACCCGCTACAAAAATAAACAAAGTCTCAAAATAAATAAACGAAGCAAAATAGTTAACACATTAAAAATACTAAAGGATCAAAAGTTAGCAAAAACATAACACTGAAAAGAGCGTTATGCGGAGCGATCCTGGCTTGTGTGAAGCACCGCCAGCTAGACAGCATGAGAGAAAGCAAAGAAAGAGAGAAGCTGTGTCCCAAATCGCATACTTATGCACTATTCTACGCCATTTTGTAGTATAAATAGTGTAAGTAGTGCGTTCACACTAAAAACTTTAAAAATAATAAGTGCACTTTAATTACCCGGATGATGCACTCATTCAGCCTCTAAAATGAAGTGTGTAATGATGGACACTTCACGCACTCAATGACCGCAGGTTTGCTCACGTACAGGAAGGGCCAGAGCTATCGGGCACACATGTTGGATAACTTTATTTATTTTGGAAGGTGAAATCAAAATTCTCCTACCAGAGTGATTATAGCGCCTCCCGATGGTGAATGCGGCAATACTCATGGCAGGTATTATTTGATTGTTTAGTTATTTATTTCACTGATTTGGCAATCGTCAAACGTCATCAGGGAAACGGTTTGAATTTCCGCTTAGTACAAAAACATTAGTGCTCCATTTGGGACAACACTATATACATGTACTATGCTGTTGAGTGTGTAAGTGCATAAGTACATAGTGCATGAGCGCATAGTGTATAGTGTGCCATTTGAGACGCAGCTAGAGAGACTGAACTGACATTGCCATCTGTGTTATATACAGGGAATCTCAATGACATCATTTGCGTCATCCAATCCAGATAAATTGTTCGCAAGCTCCACCTAAAAGTCAGACAAGCGCAGAAGCAAAGCACACAACCATACCAAAAACAAACAAACAAAAAAAGACCCTGCATTTACACTGCAGATCTTGATAGTCAATTCCGATTTTGTGACTGTATCCTATTTTTTTGATGACCTGCTTACATCATCTTTTGTGACTCGTATCCGATTGTCTGCATTTACACAGCACACGGCAAAGGTGCAATGACCAGGATAAAAAAAGAGCGGCCGCTGACTAACAGCTGATAATTAAAGAGTGCTCTTTTCTCTATTCCTGTATGTAATCTGTTCACAGCTTTTGACAAGCTCTTTCACTATTTTATAACAGAAAGGTTCTCATTTGTCCATCTTCTTTTGATATATAAGCCTTTTTAAACCTTTAGGCATCTTAATGTAATGCCCATGGCGTGATTTATGCATGTGATGTAGCTATGCACTAGTTTTATATTAGTTTCTATTGGTTACATGGGAGACATTGAGATCTCTTGCTCTCGTTAGCATGCTTAAATACCTGTGCTATATGACAATATAAAAGCTGTTTAGGTCCTCGTGTATGAGATTTAAGGTTTGGGACTCTGCTGAAGTCTGTTCTGAAATGAAAGTGTCAGACTTGATGTCATTCGCTATGAATTTTAATGACGTGCGACTCTTATTGACAGGGGAAAATCTGATCTACCTGCTTACATTGCAGACACGAGAACACAGATCCGATTCATATCGGACAAATTACCACATATGAACAAGGCCTGAATCTGATTTGAGTAATGCCTAGTTCAGATTGCATGATTTTAGCCCCAATTTCGGCTCGCCGACAGGTTTTAAGAAATCGCAGACAAATGCCTGAAATCACAGGCAAATCGCAGCTTGTGCACATGAGTGACAATCACACAGTATGAACTATCAAAGACGCGATCTGAGAGAATTGCAGATGAGTCGCCGATGCCTGCAAGATATTTGGCGTGCTAAATATCTGGAGCTGTCGGCGATTCAAATCATGCCGTGTGAATTGAGTTTTGACTGAAAATAACATCAGCGATCACCTACATCCAATGAGAGAGCGGCATTCACTTGTGTGTGCGTGTTTATACCTGCTACAGACCAGCGGGAGGTTGGGGGAGAAGGTAAAATCGCTCTTTTTCGGTTTATTTGGACCCACGAAATGGAGGAAAAACTAGTGGAGTTTTGACAGGACTCAGGAGCAACCGTGTCTGTTTGACGTTTCATACAGAAAGAAATTAGTTTATTATCAACGTTGAGGAGAAATGGCTAATTCCCTTTACACCCAGGTGAGCAAATGTGTACATTTTCTACCCCATTAAAGGCTTCTTTCTCATTATGTAGTTAATAACAAAAGATATACTACGTGTATTTGGCTGTGAGACGTAGTTTGGACGAACTTGTCGGCGATTATTCCTATAGTAAAGTCATGCAATGTGAAAGTCCCTGTCGCCGATCCATCTTGCAGTGTAAACAAAGCAGCGATGAAACGCTAGACCAGATAGTCATGCAGTGTGAAAACATCTGTGACACGACTACTTTGAAAATCATGCAGTCTGAACTCGGCATAAATTGGAATCCATGTGATTTGTTCCTCCTTACACGTACATACGGTAGGCCATATCCGATCTGTGCCACATGGGAGAAAAAAAATCGGAATTGATTCACTTGAACAGTGCAGTGTAAATGCGGCTATAGATGAACCTATGACTGGATGGGACAGCATTGATACAAACTCATCAATCATTATCCAACATGTATGTTTGTTTTTGTTTTATTATTTTAGACTGTAGAATGTTTTAAAAATATGTGCTATTATTTTAAATTGATGAAAGAACAAAAATTTGTATGATAACGGTGCAAACTCGGTACCACCATTGGTGTTTTTTGAATGACCACAACAGTAGTCTACACTAAACGGATTATGCCAAAATGGGGTAGGTATTGTGTAGTCTGAACTCAATTTTGTCACTTTAACAACCCATAATTAGCTCATCAATCAATTGTGAGCTTTAGGGTGCACGACACATGCTTAATAGAATGAAACTTTCCCAACTTTGAGGACACAACCTACTCCTTGTGGGATGTGATGGATTAGTGCTCGAGGACGTTTCGGCGACTCCTCATTTTCTTTGAAATTTCTGAAGTTTGTGCGAATCAAAGACTTCGCCGAGCACACACACAATAATAACACACAGCTCTGCGCTCTTATCTGCGGATAACAAAGTACCACATCCCTACTGGCTTTCAAAAGCCTCTTGAGCTCACAGAGGCCTTCAGAGTGGCCAGACAATACACACACACACACAGAGACTAATGAAGGACAGGAGAGCGGCATTCAACTGAAAGACTCATTTTCTTGATTTGTTCCCCCCCAACTCTCATTTTCTATTATTGTGCAATTAGCAAGCTCAGTCCATTACAAGATGAAAACATATAAAAGAACATTATTCCAACATTTCGACTCAAATGCAAGCTTATTTGTGAAGACGCTTCTGTGTTTACAGCTTTTCATTAGTCTGTGGTCATAGAGGTCAATTTCTCTGCTAGGTTTGTTTCTTTCATGTTCGTTCCCTTTTTTCCAGCTTCACCCTTCAGAGCACATGCATGCACGTATGCTAACAATGCAAGACGGTTAGCGAGTTAGTTACTGAGATGAAACTGTTTGCTTTAGAACAAGAACACCATAAAAATGTCATACGAAGATGTGAATTCATCCGTCAAGAAATGCCTTCTAGCCTGTTTCATTTTTCACAGCTGCATCTATTTTATGTCAGATGCTGCCACAAAGTCCCTACGTAATGTATTGCTGAAGAAAAACAACTGTTGTACGAGGTTTATGTATTTATTCTATATTGAGATATTTATGTATTTATTTACATTACAGAGTCTTTTCTTATGAAGCTGAAATTTCGCTCACATTTAAAACGCCTGCTTCTGTTTATTTCTTATTCCATGAAACTGAGCTCATTGACGGCGCAGATTTGCTACAAAACTGGGACTTGATTGTTGGACTGGGATGGAACTAGCCAAACGACTCTCCAAAGGGATGTTGTCGGAAATGACATACATGGTTATGACCCGCTACGCAAGCCACCAGGACTTCTCTCTCTTTATTTCCAGCTCTATATGTCTGATTGCAAGCCACATTAGCACAGTTGTGTAATCATCCAAAATCATGCCAGCCTGTTTGGTCATCTATTTTTTTGTAAAAGTGGTCAGATTTTCCACCTTGCCCACTAAGTGCTTTGGCTTAAAGTATGTTTGCCCAAAAAAATAATACACCCGCCTCCATCTTTTCTCTTACTTGCAAGACGAAACATTTCTGCATGATGCTCTTGTAAATGTTCTTCTTTTTGTTCCACAGATCATCTCAGAATGAAAGATTATTTTAAAAATGTCAGAAAAAATAAATAAATGTGTTAGGAAAAAGAGAATGTGTTTTGATTCATTAGATGTGTGTTTCAAATCATTTCAGTTACAGGTCAAATATGGTCAATTTTGCTTTCGTAACATGTCACAACATCCAAAATGTCAATACAAACTCACATAAAGTTGTACCTTTTTTAAATTTGGTGGCTAATTCCTATGAATTTGTACAATCTCCTTCATACATCTTAGTATTAATTGCTCATCCCCCAATGATGTTTGGGTTAAGGGTTTGGGGCCAAGGCCTTTTTTTTTTTTTTTTTTGACATTTTTATTTTATTATTTCACATATAAGCAGGCACAGCCATTGGAAGCTTATTGGCTCAAGACCAAAGTCTTGCTCCCTTCAATGATTTTTAAACGTTTTAAAATGAGGCTCATTATGTTTCAAACTTGTATCTATCCATTGTTTTGTTTTTATGTATTGTCAAAACAGAATTGTTTCTAGAGCAAGTAGTTTGATTGCTTCCTGCAATCCGTTTATTATTCCTTGTCATTTCCCCTTTAAATGAATCAGAAGTTCTAAACCAATACTAAAAAAGAATTTACTTCCACATTGCAGAATAAGTTCAATACACATGAAATCATATGAATTCGCCACATTTTCGCCAAAAAATTGTTGTATTTTCTTATTAAATCAGGCATCAAAATTTGCATTTGAAGTG